TACCTAATTTAAAACACTATTCAATTGAACTGATATCATTTTACATATATGCTATCTTTCCTTCCTTATTGATATTATTGTTTATTCATCAATCAATTCAACTCTTAAATTACAGAAACAAAAGATATGTCCAATTAATTAAGATTGATAATTTCAACTATTAATTGATCTTTAATAATTGGAAAAACATTATGCATAATATTTGATTTTAAGAATACAAATTTTTGATAACCAATTGCTCTTAAATAATTTGTAAGATAAAAATTGTATTATTGATGAAAATAAACTTATTGATTTTGTATATTTAATGATAAAGTGATAAAGTTGTAAATTTAATGCTGTATATTTTGTTGATAACAGAAAATAATTAATCAATGCTTTAAATAAATCGCTCAAGTTTATACTCAATTAATAATTTCTGAATTAACTAATTGATAACACTTTTTTTATCAATCAAAATAAATAATCAATTGATATTGTCAAGTAATAATGAACTGTTTTACATTATTATTGGGTGTCAGTAACATAGTAATAAATTAATTTAGATTATCATTAAGTATAAAATAAAGTAATGAATAAATTTAAACTAACTTTATAGTGATAAATTAATTTACATTAACTTTAAGCAGTAAGTATACAATAATATGATAAATTAATTTACATTAACTTTAAGCAGTAAGTATACAATAATGAATTGTTAGGCACCGATATTCAGTACTAAATATTTTGCATTAATGAATTAATTGGGCAAGCAAAAATCAGCTCATTCATTTACATTAAGAATAAAGCATACAGTAAAGAATTATTTATGTTGCTAAAATTAAGCATTATGCATATGATAATAAAATTTTAGGCATTCAAAATAATGAATTAATTTAAACTAACGTTATAATGATAAATTAATTTACATTAACATTAAGTAGTAAATATACAATGATGAATTGATATGCAAATTAATTAGTTAGAAAATTTGCTTTTTGTATTAATATTAGGATAAGAAGCATTAAGCATATACAATAATAAGTTAATTTACATTAACATCAAGCAATAAGCACAAAATAATGAACTAATTTGCATTAACATTATCATTAAGCATGAAATAATGAACTAATCTGCATCAACATCAAGCATTAGGCATAAAATAATTAATTTGCATTAACATTAAGCATTGATCATACAATAATGAACTAATTTGCATTAACACTAAGCATTAATTATTTGCAATAATGTGAACTAATTAACATCAACATTAAAAATATAATAAAAATTTCAATTTGTCCATTTTTTTTAAATTAGAATATTCCTAAATAACAACATGGAGAGTACAGTATCATACATACATTAACAACATGGAGAGTACAGTATCATACATGCATTAACAACATAGAGAGTACAATATCATACATACATTAACAACATAGAGTACAGTATCATACATACATTAACAACATAGTACAATATTATACATACATTAACAACATGGAGAATACAGTATCATACACACACTAACAACAGAGAATACAGTATCATACATACATTACCAACTTAGAGAATACAGTATCATACATCATATAATATGTAATAATTATATCTTGCATATTGTAATGAAGAAGCTAATGAAAAAGTTTAGAAAGATTCTGTATTAGAAAGGAATTAAATATGTAAAATAATCCTGAAATCTACTAAAATTAAGCCTTCTTCAATAAAATATGCATAGAGGCTTGGAGAATGTTTCAGAAGTGGTCTGTTTTGGTTAATATAACTTTTGAGAAAGCTCAATATCGCGTTATCGCACTTATTAGATTCATTCCGTTAAACTGGCAATAATTCTCTTTTTGTCTTTTATAATTTCATTCTACAATTTTACTAAGACAATTAATTTCATTAATAATATTTTGTAATAGAAATTTATAATGAAAATTTATTATTAGAAATTTATAATTTATAATAAATAATCCATTTTTAATTTTTCTCAAAATTTTGAGAATAATTTTAAATGATTAAAAATTTGATCGATTAATTGATTGATTGAAAAAAGGAAAATTGCCACTTAGTCACGTTTGGTTCTTGCACTTATACGCGCTATTTGACGTAACTCAAAATTTCGTACTTTTGTTTGATGTAATTTTTTCACGTAATTTTTTCACATTTGACCTTGAATAGTACGAATAAAATGGACTAAAAGAAAGAGTGTAAGTTGAAATTTGGGGTGTGAAAGGCCGAAAGTTAAAAGTAAGAATTAAAGAAAAGGTAATTCAATTTCAAATTTTTACCTTTCATAATTTTGCTTGCCTATTAACAATGTCTCATTGTTTTTGATTAATTTAATCTATTTAGATTTTTGCAGGAAGATGATTAAAACTGAAATTTTATATTTGATTAATAATCATCTAATCGCAGTTTTTGATTGGAAAATTCTTCCCATAAAATTTCTTCAAAAATTACAATTGGATAATTAATAACTTAAAATCACTCATAATTATTAATAAATGCTGGATAATTAATAACTTAAAATAATTATTTAATAAATTTGCTTATTGTTGACAAATTTTACAATTTAATATTAAAACTTACCTGTTTAGAATTTATTAAATTTAATTCCGTAAACAAAATTCATTGAAATTCCTTTGTAATTGAAATTTCAACTAGAAATTATCTTCCTAACTTTTTGGGAATTATTTTCAAAGTTTTTCTTTGTTACAATTGAATACAGCCAAGTTGGCGTATACTATAAAATATAAAAGTTAATTTATAGAGAAAGCTTTCTTCACTTTACTACTACTGCTATTTGCAGTATTTTCCATCAGTTCTATTCTTACCAATTTTCTATCACTGCAAAAAATAAATCAGTCTGAAGAAGAGAATTTTTCATTTGCTATACTTATCACCAAAAACAAAATATACCATTTATTAACATAATCAAAAGATATATATTCTATCCAAAAGGAAAATGTAAGATAAGAACAAATCATTTGTCAATTCTTCTTTCGTTCCATTCCCTATTTTGTACATAGATATATATATATATATATAAATATACACTATTCAATTTTTGTTAACTTTAAAATATACACCTTTCGAAATGATAAAATTTCGACGAATAGATTGACAATTTATTTTAAGTTGATTATTTCATTAATTGTTGTAATATCCTTCAAATACAGAAAAGTTTTCAAAAAAAAATTTTTATGCAAACTTGGCAATTTTATTGTTTTATTGTTATTTATGTCCTTAGACAAAAATTTTCATCAGTTTGATAATTTACTGATTTATTTTAAAATTTTAAATTTTACAAATGGAGAATTTATTGAATATCATATTTTAGATCATATTTTCATGTTTTTAGATCATATTAGATCATATTTTTAGATCATATTTTTTAGATCATATTTTATTGTCACATTTTCGGATAATTCTGATATTACAAAATATTGCATTACAATTATTGACATTATAATTTAGTTTAAAATTTTGATTGAGAAATTTGTTGAACTGAGTTTTGTAATATATCATTTTATAAAATTTAACAATTTGCGATTGGTTACATTTGACAAAAAAATGTTGTAAAATTGCGAAATTTTAACGGATCATCATTTAGAAACATTCTTCATCATATCTTCATAATATTTTTTTACTAATAAAATTTATTTAATTTATTAAAATTTATCACTATTTATTCATATTTATTAATGATATTTCGTTGTACTGTTATTTATATATCTTTGATTGTAATTATAAAAGTAAAATTTTTAATATTTTCGAAATCATTTCATAAATATTTTCAATACTTTGATATAATTTACAATATCACTTAATTATAAAACATATCAAATTATCAATTTCAAATTCAATTTTATTTTCTAACCTTAAACTGAAGAGTTTGTGACTGTATCGTAATATTTGGTTATTTTCTGAATATTCATTTTTGACGAATTTAAATTTCCATGTTTATATTATTATCTATGTTATCGTAATACTTTAATTTTTAGCACAATTTCTTAAATATTTAATTCATGGAATGTTTGAAATTTGATTACTGTAAATTATAAGAATAACAAAAGAAAGCAAAACTTTAATAGATTGCTGAACGAATTGATATGAATATGATTATAATCTGTTATCATTAACTTTTATAATCATTGCAATTATCGCTATTAAAAATATTCTTTTTCTATGAATGATAAATAATAGTAATATAATTTAATAAAAATAGAGAAAAATAAAAATTCTAATTATCAATTGTTTCTGATAATATTAGTGAGAAATTTTTGATCCATCAAATAATTCGTAATATAATTAATAGTAAAAGCAAAATTTCGTTTCTCTTTATAAATTTAAATTTGTTTAAAAATTAATTTCATTCGATTGTGATATAATAATATCGTAGTACTATTGCATGATCATAAAATGGACAAATGATGAAAGTAAAATTTTATATTTAAGTACCACAAATTAGAAAAAAGTGAGGATTGTTTTGTTCATTAGCTTTTTATTATTATCATGAAAATTGGAATGGATTTCTTTTTGTTTAATTTTTTTGAAAGATTTAATGAATTATTATTTTCGCATTGCTATCTGTGCAATTCATATTTATTTAAATTATTGTTTTCGCATTGTTATCTGTAATAATTCATGATTATTTAAATTGCAATAATTTTCTAGCATTCAACTGAAAGCTCTAAACTATGACCGAATATGATAAAACAACAACAACAGCAACAACAACAACAACAACAACAGCAACAACAACAACAACAACAATAGCAACGCCAGCAACAGCAACAGCACAAACATTATCACATCTTCTCAATATTCATGTTCATTTGGATGAAAATAAAACACCGTTAAAAGTGATCCTAAATGAAACAAAATGTGAGAAAATTAAGAAGAAAATAAAATACAATTAATTAAATTAACTAAATTAATTATCTTAATCAAGAAAAAATTTGGGAAAGATTTTTAATATATCCATTGAAAAAAATTATTAGAACTTTATTTTGCAAACAAGAATTTTCGTGTTTGTTTACAAACTTTTTTCAGATATTTGTTTATTTACTTGTTTATTTATTTATTTGTTTATTTATTTATTTATTTTTGATAACTATCTGTTCGAATTTTTTTTTTAAAAAAGTAAAATAATTTGTAAATTTATTTATAAATGATAAGTTTAAATTGTTTTGCATAATTTTTCTGTTTTCTTTTTCTTTGTTTCAGTAGCAAATTGTTTTCCAATCAATCAAAAATATCATTCTGATAACACTAAAAAAGTAACAAAGATATGTATTACATCACTCGCAGATGCAACAAAAACGGATACAATTGATACAGGTTTGATTACAAATCATTTCAACTTATACTTATCTAATTTATAATTCAATAATATTAATATGATTCATCGTTTATTAAATGATTATATGTTAAACTTTTATCAACTATAGCTTATCAATGAACAGATTCATTATCTTTAACAGTATCAATCATAAAGCTAATAATAAATTAATTAAATTAAACTTTTTTTTACTTAAATTGTCAAATTTTAGTTTATTGAAAATTTATTTGAATAGAATTTTATTTGAACATTTATAAAATGTGTTCATCATTAGTTTTATTTGTTTCAACAAAAATAAATTATACAATGCAACAATTTCAGCACTTTTACATCGACGTCATTCAACACCAATCTTATTACAACGCGAAAAATGGTCCAATAAAGTGGAATTTTTACTTGCAGTAATCGGTTATGCAGTTGATCTTGGTAATATATGGCGATTTCCATCGACGTGCTACAAATTTGGTGGAGGTATCAATAATTTTGTTTCTTTCTCTCTCTCTCTCTACAGTTTGAACGAATAATTTTTGGCATTGACTTTGAAGTGATCGAATATTATTTATTAACAGCTAAACAAATGAAGGTGTCGAAATTTTTTTTAAGTGTATTAAAAGGGAATCTTTAATATTTTATATGATTTATTCAATTTCTGATACAGAAAATTCAAATTCAAAAATTTCAATTTATATTTCAGAAATCAGAAGATAATTTTTTCAGGATTCAGAAGATAATTTTACACATTAATCCATATAAATTAAGATATTAAACAGAAATGCGTATTGAAATTTGAAATAATATAAGAATTAAATGTTTACTATAATAATATTTAATACATTTTAACAAATAAAAACAAATGTTCAATAATTTGATATTAAGTGAAGCTAAAAATGATTAAATATTAAATTTGATAATTTATCATTTAATAAAAAATGATATGATCAATAAATCGATCAAATGATTAAATATTAAATTTGATAAGTTATCATCATTTAATAATAAATCATATAATCAATACGTCGATCAGTGCCCTATTTTATCAATTCATTAATTAATCAAGGTTTATTTTAGGCGCATTTTTAATACCATATTTAATAATGCTTTTTATTGGTGGCTTACCAGTATTTTACATGGAATTAGTCCTCGGACAATTTCATCGTTCTGGTTGTATAAGTATTTGGAAAAAAATTTGTCCAATGTTTAAAGGTGAAATTATTTTGCTAATTATTTATTTAATTAAACCGGAATATATCATTTATGCTATCTTTAATATATATATAGTTAATATTTGTGAAAAATTTTAAATTCCTAATAAAATATCAAATTTTTGTTATAATTAATAGTTAGCTATAATTGTTGAAGTAAAAAAGTTTTTGATAATTAACATTTTCTTAATTATCTAAATAATTTTAATTAATTTCATTTACCTTACTATGATTAAATCAATCTAAAAGAAAAAAAAAAAGTAATTTATCACAGGTATCGGTTATGCTATATGCTTTATATGTACATTTATCGCTTGTTTCTATAATACTATTATTGCGCATGCTGTATATTACTTATATAGTTCATTACAGGTAATAATATTTTTTTAAAATTTATTATCACGAAAATTTAAAATTAGTACCTATGAAATTTATACTTTGAAATGAATGATAAAATACACGTATTTTTAAGTATTCAAGTATTCAACTATTCCAGTATTCATGTAATAGTTGAAAAATTAAGAGAGATATATTGAATAATTTCAGGTAATTAATACATTAATGAAATTATGCCATTCTTATATAAATTTTAGAAAATGAATTAAATATCTATTCTTTTGATATAATGAAAAGTACCAATAAATAATGCTTTCCATTAATTAGTATAAAGAAAAATGAATTAAAATAATTTCGCCTTTTGTTTTAAAAAATTAATTAATAAGCCTTTATCATTTCATTGTTGTTAAATTTATTTTTGACAGTTAGCCATTATATCTCTCTCTCTTCCTTTTTATAATAATTCATTTAGACCATTTTTATAGTCAGAAGTACCATGGAAAACCTGTAATAATCCGTGGAATACACCGTTATGTGTAATTAATCCAAATGATTTTAATGGTACCATTGCAACCAATCAAAATGACAGTTTAAGAATTAAAATAAGAACACCATCTGAGGAATTCTTCCGGTTTGTTTTAAGTGAAATAATAAATTGTATTAAAAGATCAAATTCAAAATAGTTTTGTTTTTTAATTATCAATAATTAAAATTTTCCTTACTCTCTTCATTTAATCTTTTAAATGTTTTTAAATTTTGCATTTTCAATTTTAAATTTACATGGCATTAAAATTAGTAAAATAAAATATAATTTGTAATAGTTAAACAATTTTGAAGAATAATTTGTTTCTGGAAATTAGTTAAGTATCTAAACTGATAAAATATTAGTATAGCTTTGATTAGGAGATGATTAAGTGGCAGTTAATAGTTCAACTAAGAAATTAGAATATAATAAATATTATGAGAAAGCTCATATGAATGATATGTTATGGATGATATATTATGAATATGAATGATATATTATGAACTTTTAAAAGAAGGCTCATATGAATGATATACTTTTAAGAGAAGGCCTATATGAGTGATATACTTTTAGGAGAAGGCCTATATGAATGATATACTTTTAGGAGAAGACCTATATGAATGATATACTTTTAAGAGGAGGCCTATATGAATGATATACTTTTAACAGAAGGCCTATATGAATGAATGATATGATCTTAACTTATACTTCATGATTCACGAAAAAAATATTTTAGTGATAACTATTAAAAAGTAAAAAACTATAAGTATGATATTTTATCGATTTTACTGTCAGGTAAAATTAAAATTTTAAATTTACAAAGTAAAGAAAGTGCACCGTGAAAATTACTATTAGAAAGTAAAATGAAATTAATTAATATTACGAAGTAAAAAAGCAAAATTTTCTTTCTCAGATTTAATGTATTGGAAGAGAATTATTCCCGCGGTTTCCATGATCTCGGTGCTATTAAGCCATCATTGGCTTTATGCCTCACTATTGTTTTTATTCTTGTCTATTTTGCACTCTGGAAAGGACCACGAAGTAGCGGGAAAGTATGTTATTGGTATATTTCTCTTTAAAAAAAAAACATGTAGTTACAATACAATAAGAGTTATTTATATGAATGACAAAGTCCCGAGTGTTCTTAGTATTTTCAATAATGTAAAAAACAAAATGATCTATAAGAAGCAAATTATAGTACTTAGTGATAATATTATTGATTGATTTTTTCATACTTCATCAAATATAATTCAATTAACTCTTTTTGGGGAATTTAAATAAAGGGCTCTCGAATGAATTAATGCAATTAATAATTGATTAAAACAATCTAAAATATTCAGTATCTTATGAATTGATCAAAATGATTGCTGATAATTGCTGATAAGCTTAATTTGCTGATAAGCTTAATTTTGTTACTTGTTATTCTTTTTCAGTTTAAGCAATTTTACCATTATTTAAATGTTTTCTTGTTTTTAAATTTTAAGTATGTATGGATAACAGCTACTGCTCCATACATTATCCTATCAGTTCTATTCATACGTGGAATTACTTTACCTGGTGCATCAATTGGGATTTATTATTATTTGGTGCCAAATTTTAATATGCTTCTTGATATTGATGTTTGGACAGCAGCTGCAACACAAATTTTCTTTTCACTTGGTCCTGGATTTGGTGTATTACTTGCATTAAGTAGTTATAATGATTTCCGAAATAACTGTTATCGGTATATCCTTTCCGTTTTTTTCTTTCCAATATAATTATATAATTTTAATTTATAAGATATATGGTAATACTTTTCTAAGTAATTTTTTAAGTAATAGATATAAAGATTTTTGCAAGGTATATACATATAAATATAATTAAAATATTATTATTTTAAATTGATTATTAATTCATATTTAAATTTCATATATATAATATAATTTGTTTTTAAATGATTCTATAAATTTATTAAATTAATAAAAAATCATTTCTATTTTATGTGAATATACATATTATATATAGGGATGAGCTGGTAGCATCAATTAATTGATGGTAATTTCTATAATGTATGCATAGGGAATACATATATAGGGATGAGTTGGTAACATCATTCATTAATTGTGGTAATTTCTATAATGTATGTATAGAGAATAAATATATATAGGGATGAGCTGGTAGTATCATTTATTAATTGTGGTAATTCCTATAATGTATGTATAGGGAATACATATACATATATATGAGAATGAACTGGTAACATCATTTATTAATTGTGGTAATTTCTATAATATATACGGGGATGAGCTGGTAGCATCATTTATTAATTGTGGTAATTTCTATAATGTACGCATAGTTTATATATATATAAGAATGAGCTGGTAACATCATTTATTAATTGTGGTAATTTCTCTAATGTATAGAGATGCGCTGGTAACATCATTTATTAATTGTGGTACATCATTCTTTGCTGGTTTTGTAATATTTGCAACTCTTGGCTATATGTCAACAATAACAAATTTACCAATTGATGAAATTGTAAGTGATGATGATGCAAATATGATATTTATCGTTTATCCACAAGCAATTGCAACAATGTCGTATGCAAATTGTTGGTCTTTTGCATTTTTTGTTATGTTAATTACACTTGGAATCGATAGTACAGTAAGTTAATATTTTATTTTATTTATTTATTTTATTTAATTAATTTTAAAAAATTTAATTTAATTTAATTTATTTGTTAGAAAATAAAATTAATAAATATTTACTTTGCTGAAAAATTATTTCAATTTTAAGAATAAATTTTTGTAATTTATAAAATAATAAAAATATTTTTAGTTCAGTGGAATTGAAGCATTGATTACCGGATTTTGTGATGAATATCCGGAAGTGTTAGCACGAAGACGTGAAATATTCGTAGGTGTCGTAATTGTTGCCTATTATTTTGGTAGTCTTCCAACTGTTACTTATGTAAGAATTAATAATTTAGATTTAATCTTTTACTATTGTTTATACAATTGATAAGATATAAATATCATTACTGTAATAGTTATAAAGCTGTAAATAATAAGTAATAGCTATAGCTTAGATATAGCAATATCAAATTAACTTTTGCCGCTCTTATTGCTAATTTTAAAAACTAATTAATATTTTATGTATATTTATATATTCAAACTTTTTTATAAACTATTTAAATTAATATATTCGTAGTAAAAACATATAATTTCCCTTCAATAGTTATTTATTTTAAAGGGTGGTAAATATGTCATACCATTTATTGATGAATACGGTGTATCATTATCAATATTATTTATTGTAATGTGTGAAATGGTTGCCGTTTGTTGGTTTTATGGAATACGACAATTCAGTAAAGATATTCAACAAATGCTTGGCTTTTATCCAGGATTATATTGGAGATTTTGTTGGACATGTTGTCCAGTTGTTATGACTGTAACTTTTACTTTATATACTTTCAATTAAATAATCAGAAGAAGTTTAGTTAATTAACAATAGGCCTTTTTTTCACCTTTTATTTTAAGTAATTATTATTGTTTATTAGACAAGTATTAATAATTGTAAGAGCAATATTTTCTTTTTCAGACGATATTCTTGTTGACCATCTATCGAACATCATTGGAACCGATGACCATTGGATCGTATACATATCCACAATGGAGTGTCTATATTGGGTGGTTCCTACGTCTAACATCTGTTCTTAGCATTCCAATTTTTGCCATTTATTATTTCTGCATTGCTAAAGGAACATTAAAAGAAGTAAAAATTCGAAAATTTTTGGTATTTTTAATTAAAAATTTTTACTTTAAATTTAAAACAAAACATCTCAAAATGTTGGCATTAACATAAGAAATATTACCTAAATATGTTATAATATATTGTATTGAAAGATCAAAGTTAAATAATATTGTTCCTCATTAATTAAATTAAACTTATCTGATTTAAAAAAATAAATTAGATTAGGTAGGTATCATCTCCATAAATTAGGTATCTCTCTAAATTAGTTGTCTCTCTAAATTAGGTATCTCTCTATAAATTAGGCATCTCTCTATCAATCCATTCTTTCCATAAGAATAACATAATGAATAGCAATTGGAATTATCTCGATAAATGTGATACATAATTTGATTCGAATTAGAATTGAAATTTTAAACTTAAGTTTTAGTTTTACTGTATATGTATATAATATTAAGATATTGGATTCTAACAATTAATAATTGTACTCTAATTTAAATAATACTTTTTAAATTGTAATTTCATCTTCAATATTTATTTTTTAAATAACAAATCTGATTTATTAAAATTACACAATTATAAATTGATTATTTAGCGTTGGCAATTTTTGATAAAACCGTATCAAACTGATCGTGTTGCCGGATATCATCATTAATGCTATCAGTAATTGCTAGATGGAACACGAATAATAATTCTCCTCACCAGTATCAATAACCCCAAGAATGATTAAACATATAGTGGCTATTAATAGTACAATCAAATTTGTTAACAAATTATTGTAAACTTAGAATATGCTTATATTTTATTTGCAGCCGTATTATTTCTTTTGCATTTTTATCCTATCATTTTCATTGTATCATTTTTGAAAGTATGAATAAAAGTATGAAGAAATCATAATGAAATTTAGAAAACGGAAAATTGATAAAAATTTCATCTTTAAAAAAGTAAAATCATTTCGATAATATTGCTTATCAGTTAGTAATGTTATATCGGTTATCAGTTAACAATCGGTTATCAGTTAACACTATTAAACTAAAAAAGAAAATAAAATTAAAAGAAAAAGTTATCAAATCATTTCGATAATATTGGTTATCAGTTAGTAATGTTATATCAGTTATCAGTTGACAATGTTAAATTAAAAAAGAAAATAAAATTAAAAGAAAAAGTTATCGAATCATTTCAATAATATCGATTATCAGTTAGTAATGTTATATTAGATATCAGTTAACGATCGGTTATCGGCAAACAATGTTAAATTAAAAAAAAAGAAAATAAAATTAAAAGAAAAAGTTATCAAATTATTTCGATAATATCGGTTATCAGTTTTTAATTCTGATAAAAGAATCAATAAGTTTATAGTAAATAAATTGTATTTCATAAAGTTTAACAAATAAGTAAAATTAAAGTAAATATTTTACAATAATTAATGTTAAAGTAAATGAATGGAAAATTTTGAAATGAGGAATTAGTATAATCTATGATTTTTTACTTTAAGATTCTATGCTAAAAATAATTTATAAAAAATTTCAAAAATTAAATTTCAAATTTTTGAAAGAACGAAACGAATTTATTCTTTGTCAATCTATGCAATATAAATTATAATTGTCGGATTACAGTTTTGGTCCTAAAATTGAACACTAATAAGCGATTCAGAATTCTCTTTTGAGTAAATAAATCATTTCTGATTCAAAATTTTGAGTAAATTATTTCTGATTCAGACTTCTCTTCTGAATAAATTATTTCTGGTTTAGAATTCTTTTCTGAGTAAATTATTTCTGATTCAGAATACTTTTCTGAGTGAATTATTTCTGATTCAGAATTCTTTTCTGAATAAATTATTTCTGATTCAGGATTTTAGAATTACTAAAATAAAATTTATTATTTCTGATTCAGATATCATTTCGCTTTCTAATCCCATTTCAGATCATTCGCTGAAAATTCTTTTTGAATGGAAAAAAATTTTTTCAGACACCAATAATTTATTCAAATTCAAATGACAGTTTAATAAATAATAATAATTAGGCTAAAAACATTTCTTATTTTTCATTTGTTCTATCTTACGTAAAAATATTTTACATTTTAAAATTTCACCGTATAATTGTTTGGTAAATTTTGTTATACAAATAATTCAATGAGTCATGAACTTACAATTACGAAAATATAATGTGTGATATTAAAATAAGTTAACTTTCATTTGATCTATTCCTTTCGAACAATTCGATACGGTTCATTTTTTGACCTTTAGAATTATCGGTATTACTTTTTATTTTTTGAACTACATGAAGTAAATCATTTCAAATGATTTAGTTGTTAGTTGTCCAATTTTGTAAATAATAAATTTGATCGTACAAATAATTGATCAATCTGATCTTTAATTTATATAGTTCTTATTTTAGATGGATAAGAGATCATTAGTGAATGATTGTTAGGTGTATTGTAGACATCTCGTTAAATTATCATAACGGTAACTTTGAAGTTAGTGATAGTCTAATCATTTTTGGGAACACATAGCGTTCATACTTGCATGAGCATAACTCTCCACTTGACGTATTTTTTGCATCATGCATGCATTATGCATGTTACATTCCGGATTAGAGGGTTTTGCTTCCTTCAGGTTATTTCAGGTTTTGCTTCTTTATTCGAATAGAGATGTACAAAAATTTCATTTGCTTCATATGTAACGGAAGACTAATAAGGAATAGAATTTCAATGATACGTTGCTGTGGTCATACATTTCATTATCAATGTATTTTACATTGGATTAGAGTAAATACATTCTATTTTTTTTATTATGCAATGTAATAATTTCCTTTTAATTAATAATTAATATTTCAATTAGTATTTCAATTAATTTTAATTAATCCTTTTGTTTGTCGTTGGCAGATAATTTTCAAATCATTTCTAAACATTTTTAAACTAAAAAAAAATCTCCACAAAATTATAGCTGAACCATTTTTGCAGGTTTTTGGAGAATGTCCAGTATGTTATGCAAAATCACAAGAAATGCATATTATCAAACAATTATTTTTTATCACTGAAGGAAGATCACGACAACAAGGTTGGACCAGTTATTTATCATTACCAGAACAAAGGGTATTAATTTATTCATTTTTTTCTTATTTTGCAAATTCAGATGAAATATTAGTGATTGGTAACTGAAGTAGATAAGATCAAATAAATTATGTAAATCCATTTTATTATTTAGCCGTCAATTCATTCTCTATGTAATCCGATCACTGGAAATGATTATTATACTTCTGCAAACATGCAAGTTTAAAAATTGAAAGTTAAATTAAAATGTTAACTATTATATGATATATCTTTAGCATAGAGAAAATGTAAAAGAATTGCGATATTTACGAGAATTGCAAAGAGATAAGGAAATATTTCGCATGCAAATATCGGAAGCAATCAAAGCTTTATATGAAGTAAAAGAATTAAAAGAAACAAAAGCCAAATGTATCATCGAAACCTCTATGAGACAATTAATTTGATTTTGACTATATGAAATTGACATTTCATTTTGAATTTCTTCTCATTCTTTTGTTGCTATTAATTTGATGACTTATTCTTTTTATATGAAATAAAACAATAGATGCCGTCGGAAAGATGAAGTGAGAAATAAAACGTTGGAATGA